AGAGACGGGGTTTCACCGTGTTGACCAGGATGGTCTCGATCTCTTGACCTCGTGATCCACCCGCCTCGGCCTCCCAAAGTGCTGGGATTACAGGCTTGAGCCACCGCGCCCGGCCCTGTTAAAAAAAATTTTTAAAGAAAATATCCAAATGTTGATTAACAATAAACTAAATTAATAAATGTGGGAATGAATACAGTAGAAATAATATACATCAATGAAAATGAATGAAACTCTATCAAGTACATTAACATGGTTATATCTTAAAGTGATGTTGAATGAAAAAAGGGAAACTATAGATACTATGTTATTTTATTTATATAAAGTTCAAAAACAAACCAAGATTACATTGTTCAGTAATACATATATAATTAGCAAAATTAGGAAAGCAAGTGGATGATTAACACAAAATCTACAATATCAATTACTTTGTGGAGGAAGAATGTGGGTTTATACTTAGGGAGAGAAAATAGAGGTTCATGTTTCTTAAATGGATTATGAATACACAGATATTTCTTTTATTTATATTATGTATATGCGTACTTATATTTACATGTATATCTGTTAATAGAATACCTTATTTTCAAGAAAAGGCTTAAAATAATTGCATTAGGACATTAACAAAGGTGATGTTCTATAGTAAGAATTATAGTTAAGATTTTTTTACATTCATCTATTTTTCTGTAGTTCAAATCTCTTTAATGACTTTTTTCAAATATCCATATCACAAGTCATTTAGGTCTACCCTTGATTTTATTGATTGTCTTTTTCTGTTTGTTTCCTAGTAGAATTTCTGCTAAATTTTTTTAAATGATAAAGGGAACACTGACCAAGATAGAAAAAGTATGGAAAGTGGAAAAGAAAATCAAAGTACAGTAGACTATAAACAAGTAAAAATGAAAACGAATCAATAATAAAACCTATCACAACTAATATGAATAAATTGAATTCCTACATCAAAGACAGATGTAGTTTAACAGTGACTTAGAAAACAAAATCCAACTATGTATGGCTTGTAAAAAAAAAAAATAAGTACCTAAAACCAGGGGACAAAGGGAGTTTGAAGTTTAAGGGATGACAAAAACAGATTCAGGGTTTTTTAACATTTATCCACTAAAGCATGACAACATAAGGGTAAGTCCTGTGATTACCTTGTTTAACCAAACGTTCATGGAGTTGTAGTCAGGGGATAGGATGGATGTTAAAAGTTGTGGCAGGGTCTGCCAATCGCCCTGCAGTAGCCATGGCCCCCTTCTTCCTTTAATAGTAGAACTCCCTAGTCAATGTTGGCAGGGCATATGGCCACATTTCCTATCCTACTTTGCTACCAGAAAAAAAAAGAAAAAAATGGCACCTACCTGCCCATTGTAACTCTTACTTGGATTATTGGGAGAGTATAGACATTTATTTCCAACGGATTTATTGAGAATTTATCCTCCTTTGAATAACAACAAAAACCTGAAGGCCACCAAATATATAATAATAAGGGATTGGCTAAAGGAATTATCACACATCCAAAGGACAGAATATCTTGCTATTCATTAATAATAGAAAACTCTGCTATAGCAGAGTAGTCTCAGGTGGGGAGACCAAAGCACAGAGGTTAATTTGCTCAAGATCATACACCTAGTAAGACGTAGAGCCAGGATTTGAGTCTAGGTAGTCTGGCCCCAGAGTTCATGCTCCTAACCATTAGCCTCTTCACTGCTCATCAAAAATTATGGTGTAGGTGAAAATATGTTCACGTTATGTTTCGTTTGTATCTTCAGCTAACATTTCTAACCCTTCAAGGTCTGAGAATCCACAGGAAACTGGAAAGGGCAGGGCAGGGAAGGGGCTTTCCGGCATGTCTGTCTTTTTGATGGTGCTCTCTTCATTGTCATTTCTGGTGAGAAAGTTTTAAAGATACTTTGTTTTGGTTTTATTTGTAATGATGAACAGAACACTGAGAATGGGGCAACTTCTAATCTTGACATTGCCTCTAATCAATTGGTGACCTAGTCTAGCCTAATTTTATTAATCTTTAAATTGAGGCATATTTAGGTAATACTATAATGCTTTTCCATTTTTATTGTTCTGAACTTTGTATGTCAATCTATAGGGCAATCAGCACATCCTTAGAGGCCAAAGGCAAAGATGGATACGGTGTGAGTATAAGGCCAGCTCAGATCTGGAAAGAATGAGTGGAGAGTAAAGAAAGCATGTGTCTGGCCGGGCGCGGTGGCTCACGCCTGTAATCCCAGCACTTTGGGAGGCCGAGGCGGGTGGATCACGAGGTCAAGAGATCGAGACCATCCTGGTCAACATGGTGAAACCCCGTCTCTACTAAA